AGAACCACGCACGCGCGCGGCGCTCCCCGCACCCAGGCCACAACCAGGGCCTGGGCCGGGATTGTCTTTGCCTGCCTAGGCCGAAAGGCGGCCCGACCGATCCTGGCCGATTGTCTTGATCCGACGGCTCTCTACGCAAGTCGTGTGAACAAAATGGCGCTGCGGCCGGTTCTCCCCTTAACCCTAGCTTCAGTATCTTCCTTCCCTTCTACCCCTTCTCTCGGCGACAACAGAGCGGCGGTTGCTCGCAGCAGCCAGAGGAGGAGTGCGGCGCCGCCGCGGGCCCCCTCGCCGAAGTGCGCGCTCCCCGGTGGGTGAGCGCGCTGCCGTCGAGTGGCCTCGTGTCGGCGCCCTGAGCCGGTGCGCCGACAACACAGCATCGAGCGGCGGCTATATTTTTTCTGCCTGCGCGATGGCTGTCTGCCCACGCGACGACGGTCCTTCTTCCCGCGCAACGGCGGTGGGGACGACGGTGGAGGACCCCGGGTGAATCCCACTCCATCTCCGTCCATGCTATTTAGGGTTAGGGTTAGGGTTAGGATGATTCCTTTCTATTCGATTCATCTCCTTCTAAATTCTTCTCGATTTACTACCCCAAACTCTAGATCTACACCCTTGTACGGCTCTGATACCAATGTTAGAACTGATAGGACCTCTAGGTGCAGATCTAGCGTGTAAAATTCAACTTAGATAAAGAACTTGTTAATGTACCTTGTCAAGCGTAGTCGCAGCCATGGTGCCGCCAACGAGGTAGCAGCGACGTGGCCTCGAGTGTTGGAGTAGGGGTAGCTGACGCGCCGACGAGGGTGTCGAAGGTGGTGGCACTTCCCGTCGCTGTCAGCGTTCCCTCGATCGGTAGGGTTAGGACCATGGTGGGGTTGTGGCGGCTACCATGAACCTCCTATCCTGAGCCCCGCCCCCACCTTCCTTTTATAACGCTACGCGACGGGGGCCCACCAACCATGGGTTGGTTTGTGCGCCCCCGATCAGGGCGCAAGATCAGGGCCCAGCCCCGGTCGTTGGACCGGGCTGGTTGAGATCAATCCTAACAAACGGAGCTCGCCATTTGCAAGCAAATGAGGATTAGCATCACATATATCTGTAGTGGCCAGTGGCACTCTGAGGAACCCATGGTGGCTTTGTGAAATAGTATGTGACGTGATGCCCCCTCAGGCTCATTGTACCATCTTATATAGGCTAGGAAAAGCCCTAGCGTGACACATCTTGGAGTACAAGACAACAAGAATATACATGGAAACAAAGATATGTAATCTATCTACTTACAGTACAAACAAACAACAAGAAAGGAAAACTAACGGAGCCACCTTCAGACGTTCTTCACCAGGGTGTAGATGGATCTGATGATATTTTCGTAGTAAACATAGTTGGAGACATAAATGCTAATATTATTCCTTGTAAACTTATCAAACTTAAGCTAGTTTGACTTGCACAAATCTCATAGGTGCATCTTTTTGTGGATGAAGGGATTGGAGTATTTGCATTATTAGAAGCTGAAAGCACGTTTGAAGGTGTTTTTGCTGCCTTGTGAGGTACACAGTCTATTTTACTCTCTCTCCGTATCAAAAGAAATACATTTTTAGCTATATATCTAGATGAAACTTTGTCTAGCTACATAGCTACAAATTTATTTATTTGGACTAAGGTAGTATTCATTCAAAACCCGATCTCTATACAAAGAGCCAGTTCAGGTTTTCAAAATTATTAGGTACTCCCTCTGTTCAAAAAAAATATAATTCTAGGTTTGAGACCAGTTAAACTTTCTTCACTTCAACTAATTTATAAAACATAGTATTAACATTTATGCTATCATATAGATTTACTATAAAAATATATTTTATAATTAATCTAATGATGCTTATTTACTATCATAATTGTTTGTATTTTTTCATATAGATTGGGTTAAATTTGAAATCATTTGATTCCTTGGGAGAATTACGGTTTCTAATTTATGAAATACAACTTTTTTAAAACTTTCAAACGCTTTTGCATATGGATGATGCCCGCAAAAGTATTTACATGCATGCATGTATTTTTCACCTGCGTGTGCTTTTCTCTATATGTGCGTTGCATAGCTGTACCTGTTTTTTTTTTTAAACGGCCTAAATACAGTATTTTGGCCCACTATAACAAACCGTACGCATGATTAATTTCTGGTCGGCCCTTGACTTAGTGCCACCCCTGGTGGCGCATATCAGCCCCATTTAATCACGGTATGACCTCTGTTTGCTCGTCCTACGGCCTTATTACCTTCTTGTCCAGATCCAAATGGTCTGGGAAGAGATTCCCTGCTTTCTGGTCATACGGCCTGCACGTTTCCTGTTTGTCGAGCTGGTCTAGTAAGAGATTCCATGCTTTCTGGTGCAAATTCAAATCCCATGCTTGCTAGACCGTTGATGGTGGAAAGGCTGGAAGCCAACACAAATCAATGGGGAATAGTAGGGGCCGAGGCTCCAAGCCAGTGTTTTCTATGCTCTATTTTTCCTCTTAATTTTGGTTTGTGTTTCCCATTTGGATGCCTATTCTTGATTTGGATATTGTTTTTTCTTTGAATTGTAGTCTAATGGAGACCATTTGACAAAACTGCTTGTCTGTCTTTGTAAATGGTATTAACAGTGGTGGGCAAAAACTAAATCTAAAGCAAACAACCCACTTTATATTTTTAAGTTTGAAATTGGATTCTAAGAAACTTAAGCTGTACTACATTGCTCCCCCCAAAAAAGGTACTTTTCTCAGTTTTTGACAAGTCAAATGGTTTAAAGTATGATAAAAGTTAAGCAAATTTTGCTCACGGACACCGCACAAACGTCTAATATCCCGCCGGATACCGCTAACTCCAAAATTTGCCTAGTACCATTATAAAATCATGATTCTTTGCCGCTGCACCGCACGCATTAAAATATTAATTTTCGTGGATCCGGAGAGAGAGAAAGAAAGGGCGGTGAATAGACTAAATTGCCGCTGCAAGTCATCTTCCACCTCTGACCATCAGCCATGGCTGAGGGCTATGCTCATGGGGGATTGGGGGCGGCTTCGGCCGGGGCTGAGCTGGCAGCACAACAGCGTCGGGCGCTCGCTAGCCCGTGGAGCTGCAAGCCGCCACGTGCAGCCCTCCCTCCGTTTCTACCGCGCTGGCCATGGCCTGCTCCCTCCATTCCTACCGCGCGGCCACGGCGGACGGTGACCATGGCCTAGGGCGAGTGCGGCTAGGCCGGGGGCTCGTGACCTGGCCGGGGCGCGGGGCCTCGCTTGGACGGGCGCGCGGCCTCGCCAGGGGCGAGTGGGGCCTCGACAGGGGCGGGCGGGGCCTCTACAGGGGCGGGCGCGACCTCGCTTGGGGCACAACCATGGTAGACGGCGGCCATGGCCAGGGCCAGGCGCGGCCTTGTCAGGGGCTCGTGACCTAGCCGGGGGTGCGCGGCCTTGCCAGGCGACGTGTGGCCATGGTGGCGGCGGTGCACAGTTAGACTTGGGACGGCGCGGTGAAGAGCTCGGGGGAGAAGGAGGTGCCAGAGGTTGAAGACGAGGGCAGTTTAGACATTTTCTCTACCTTCTCTCTCCCCAAAACTAAAAAATGAATAAAATAATCTGTACAGTGTCTTTGGGCATGGAACCACGAATTTATAATGTACACCAGCAAATTTCAATTTTGGCGATGTTCACTGGCCAATTATACATTTGTCCAATGTCCCACAGCAGATTTTGCCTAAAAGTTATACAAAAAATGCTAACATTTATGATAGAAAATAAGTATCTTTAATTAATTGTGACATATATTTTCGTACTAAACATAGTGGAGACATAAATGTTAATCCTATAGTTGCATCCATTTGTGGACAAAGGGATCAGAGTATTTGCATTATTATTAGAAGCTGAAAAACAGGTTTGAAGGTGTTTTTGTTGCCTTGTGAGATGCACCGTCTATTTTCTCTCTCTCTCTCTCTCTCTCTGTGTCAAAATAAATATATTTTTAGCTATATATCTAGATGAACCTTTGTCTAGTTACATAGCTAGAAATGTGTTTGGACCAAGGTAGTATTCATTAAAAACCCGATCTCTATACAAAGAGCCATTTCAGGTTTTCAAAATTAGGTACTCCCTCCGTTCAAAAAAATATATAATTCTAGGTTTGAGCAATGTTTTTGAGTCGTCGCCTAGACATCGCCTAGGCGACAAGGCATGGTCAAGGGCCTGGGTGTCGGGGTCGCCACCACCTCAGCGTGTATGGCGTCCACCTCATAGGGTTAGGCGTCGTCTAGGCACGAATGGCGTCGGGTGGATGCCTACAACCGCACCACGGACGCCGGATGCCGGTCGTAGGGGAAGGGCGCCAAAAGGAGCGCGGCCCCGTGGGAAATCAACCGCGCGGGCGCCCAAGTAGCTTCTTCGCGTGGGAAATCTAGCGCACGAGTGCGGGCGAGGAGAGGGGAAGAGAGAAGGCGGCAGATGAACCTCGACCTCCGCTAGGCGCGGACTCTGCTCGTGTCCACCGGTCGGCCGCCACTGCCGCGGAGCCGGCCCTGCATCTCCGCTTGGCTGTCCGCCCCTGCCGTGGAGCCTGTCGGGCCCTTCTGCCTGGCCATCCGCCCCTGCCGTGGAGCCTGTCGGACCCTTCCGCCCTGCATCTCCGCTTGAATGCGCCTCCGCCGGGCCCTTCCACCTAGTATGCCCCCCCCCCGCCTCCACTCTGCTATCTGCTTGTTTGCTCTGCTTATCTGCTTGTCTGCTGTCTGGTCTGCTTGTCTTCCATCGGGCCCTTTTCCAAATCTCGTGCTCTGTTGTCTGCTCTGCTTGTACTGCTGCTCTGAAGTCTAAATATTGTATACTCTCTGCTCTGCCTCCTCGTGCTCTGCTCTGAATCTGGATATTGTATACTCTCTACTATGCTATGCTATGCTATGCTCTGTCTGCTCTGAATATGGCGTGTGCTCTGCTTTCCCAAACATAAGGCTCTTGCTTTCTTTTATGTAGCATCCAGCAACATGGCAAGCTCAAGTGAAGCACCTGATTATGATCCCAAGACTGATCCAGCAAGGAAAGCGAAGTCCAATGATCCAGGTTGGAAATATGCCTACTGGCAGGACCCAGCAAGGAGAGACTGGGTGACATGTATCATGTGTGGAAATGAGGCTTTAGGATGCCTAAAGAGGTTCAAGCAACATTTGGCTGGTGGATATGGAGATATTGTCCTTTGTACAAAAGCTACCACTGAAATCAGGAAAGAGATGGAAGCTTACTTGCAAAAGAAGAGAAGAAGGCCTTTGTTCTTGGATGGTATTGAGGAGGAAGATGGGGAAGATGAAGTTGTGGAGGTGGCAGCAGCAGATGTACAAGCAGGAGCAGATGGGGGTGCAACACCATAACCGGCTGCAAAAAACCAAGTTCTAGGACAGTCGCCAAGAGAAGGCATGCTACCTATCAATTCAAGGCTTCAAGACCTAGCAATGGCAATTCAACACCAAAGACAACAAAGTCTGTTGTTGCTATGCTTAGAAGAACACCTGAATAGATAGTAGATCAAAGGCGTGCAAAGGACTTTCAACCCACCATTGAGTCCAGCACAAAGACTAAGGAGGAGAAGCAATATGTGGATTTGCAATGGGCACTATGGTTCATGGAGTGTGGTGTATCCTTTAATGTAGCAAATTCAAGGCAATTTGAAATTGCCTGTGAGGCAACAGCCCAATATGGTTCAGGGTACAAGCCTCCAACTAACCAATAGCTTGGTGAACCTTTGCTTCAAGAATGTGTTAAGGTGACAAGTGCCATGAGGAAGGACCATGAGCAGGCCTAGAAGCAATATGGTTGTACACTAATGTTAGACTGATGGACTGATATGAGAGGGCGCCACTTGATTAATTTTTATGTGAATAGCCCTGAGGGAACGTACTTTTTGGAGTCAGTTGATGCATCAAGTCAAGTTCATAGTGCAACAATGTTAGCTGATTTGTTACAGAAGATTGAGGACATTGGAAAGGACAATGTTGTTCAAGTTGTGACCGACAATGGCGCTAACTACAAGGCTGCTGGTAAGATTTTGATGGATAGGATTCCCACACTGTTTTGGAGCTAACTAAAAGCTAATGATGATGCCACTGTTGGGCAACTAAGAGGTTGTTTTATTGAAGTGCTTGGAAGAATGATACCAAATGTGGAAACACAAATGAAGATCAATAGGCAGGCCATTGAGTATGAAGAGCAACGTGGAGATGCCTTCTCAAACAAAATGGCAAAGGAAAGCTATGACAAAATGAGTCCTCGTAAGTGTTGTTAATCTTAGCTTGCAAATTTCAGCAACTTAATTGCATTCCAAACTCCTAATATGTGCTATACTTTTCATCCAGTTGATTGGTGGTGTTCTTATGGTGTCCGAGCCATTGAACTACAAAGACTTGCTAAGCGTATAGTTAGTCTTTGTGCTTCACCATCTGGTTGTGAGAGATGCTGGAGTACCTTCAATTTTGTGAGTATCCTTGTGATTAACAATTTTTATTTAGATGCATACAATCTGATTTTTTGTTTTGCTTCCCATCTGATTTTTTTGTTTATAGATGCATATAAAGAAAAGGAATAGACTGTTGCACAAGAGATTGAATGATATTGTTTTTGTTTCATACAATCAGAAGATGAGACGGACTATGATGTCATTTGTCATGCCCATACATGCACTAATGCTTGCTAATTTGTTATCTTGCCTATTGTGTATTGTTTCCTATTTAATTCTCCGCAATTGATAATGTGTTAGATTGCTGAATTCTTTAATTGTCATGTAGCTTCCTTCAAGGGGTTGTATGCTACATGGGAGAAGAGCTTTGGAAAGGAAAGAAAGAAATATGGGCTCAAGAATTGGCAACAAACAAGGTATATATATGCTGCACTAGTATATAAAATTCTAGCTTACAACGCCTTACAATGTGTGTATGAGCGTCGCCTAGGCGTCCGCCACAAACATCTAAGCGTTGTGAAGAGGGTCGGGCACCGCGGTGCCTCAAAAACATTGGGTTTGAGACAAGTTAAACTTTCTTTACTTTAACTAATTTATAAAACGTAGTACTAACATTTATGCTAGCATATAGATTTACTATAAGAGTATATTTTATAATTAATCTAATGATGCTTATTTACTATCATAATTGTTTGTATTTTTTCATATAGATTGGGTTAAATTTGAAATCATTTGATTTCTTGGGAGAATTACGGTTTTTATTTTGGGAGGGGAGAGTAGATTTTTATCATAGGTCCTAATTTATTGGCTGCACAAGTTGGTTGCATGTTGCTATCCTACGATACGTCGAAAATAATGCAATGTCATTTCGTCGTTTTTTAATTTGGCCACGTTAGTTACTGTTGGAGCGTGAGAGGTGGTTGTCCCGGCCGGCAATCGGCAACATCCATACAGTACTCCGTACATCGTGCCTGCTGACGCAAGTTGGTTGCATGTTGCTATCCTACGATACGTCGAAAATAATGCACTGTCATTTCGTCGTTTTTTAATTTGGCCACGTTAGTTACTGTTGGAGCGTGAGAGGTGGTTGTCCCGTTCGGCAATCGGCAACATCCATACAGTACTCCGTACATCGTGCCTGCTTGGACGCTAGCATCAGCTTAATTTGTCCATTAATTGCACGTGACCGACACCGATGGTGATGGATGGCAACCATTTATAGGGTAATCCCAGGTTCCCAATCTAGAAAGGCGCTGATGCTCGCTAGTTCGGTAGTAATTTACGGCCCTGTTCGGTAGTAATTTTCAACTAATCAATAGTATTTCTCTCTCACAATAAATTAGCATAAATAAGCAGCATAAATCAAATTTCAGCGAAACAATCAGGCGACTAATAGCAATACTCCAGAACAGAACTGTAAAGTAGTTGCTACTACCGGATGAATCCGCACTCAGGGCGCGTTTAGATCCAAAATTTTTGGGTTTTGACTACTGTAGCACTTTCGTTTGTATTTGATAATTAATGTCTAATTATGGACTAATTAGGTTCAAAAGTTTTGTCTCGTGATTTCTCATCCAACTGTATAATTAGTTTTTTTTATTTACATTTAGTACTCCATGTATGTATCATAAGATTCGATGTAATGAATACTGTGCAAAAAAATTTAGGTTTTGGGCAACTAAACAGGCCTACGACGAGCGATACCCTGACAATAACATACGGCCTACCGTACCACAGGTACATCTCATTGATTACGCCACCTGTTATGACACGATGGACAGTTTCACATCAACACAGGACAGGTTCCATCTAGAGCGTGAACATGGACAGTAAAAATACTAAATTGTACTCCTTCCTCATGCCAAAGTAAGTGTCGCTATAATAATTATGTCAGTCAAACTTTTTCAAATTTAAAGTAAGTTTGTAAGAAATATTAGTAATGTCTATATCTCTAAATAAGTTTATTTAAAATGGATTTAATGATCTATCTAATAATATTAATTATATATTATAAATATTAATAATTTCTTGCTTATATATTTGATTAAAGTTAAAAGCGTTCGACTCCTTAGGAAACAAGAATGAAACTTATTTTTGGACGGAGGAAGTATACATCAAAATTATCTCTTCATCATTTTTCATGATTATTTTTTGGATTCGGATCTGAACTAGACGTGCAAATTTGTTGTGGCAGAACCGCCTAATCTAATGTCTCTCATGAGTACTTGTCTTTCATTAGACACTAAGTACCCAAGAGAGGACACTAAACTACGTAGTTCCGTCGAGCACACCCAAAGGGAGAACTCAAAAATCTACATTTTTCCATTAGGATCATAAATAAAAGGATAAAGCTTACAACATTCTTAAGTCATTTCTTATATCACTTTATTACACTAACAGAATGTTACCTCAATAGACTATAACAGCGGAATATAACAATGTTATCAGAGTTACAGAGGGAGCAAGAATAATATAATGACATGGTGGAGCATTAACATAGTGGATATTTTCATATAAGAGATACTAGTAGATTTTACATCTTTTCTTATAAAAACCTTTAGCGAGGGTTATAATAAACACTACGGTCGTAGCGGGCAAGGAATCCTCTTTGAACCCACTAGGAGGTTTCCACACACAAGAGCCAGCTTTTAAGCATCATCCGATCACCTGCAACAGGGGTAAAATAAAACCCTGAGTACTCGATCGTACTCAGTAAGACTTATCCGACAAGAGGAAATAAAAGACTCCAAGGATATGCAATGCTATCTGGCTTGTAGGTTATTGCATCTGCGGAAGCATTACTAAACGTGCGTCCTTATATTTAATTTTATTGGTAGTCATCATTAGTTCATTAATTAACCATTCTATATAAGCACCTATGCTACTTTCAAGCAGGTGGTAAGCAATCAGAACCATTTTACCATCTTTCATATTCTAGTTCTTACTACGATGCTAGATCATAGCCAAGTCATACCGTATCACATGGTGATTCGTGAACCAATGTATCCAGTTGGATACCCCGAAACACACGTCTCGCTTATACCCCAAGCACAAGCAAGACCAACCCACCACTCTCCTGTCAATGGGTCTAGGTCCCCGTTCAAACTTGGACTCCAAGCCCCCACTCCTGAGTCCCGGATTCAGTGTGGTGCTTAGACCTCCACCATCCTCGCCTCCAATCAGTCGGTCCGGAAAGAGCTGAAACCCATGACAACAGAGCAACGAGCCTTTTCGCTCATATAACCAAGTATGTGCTCAGGATAATAAGTCTGTGACCTAACTACCATCCACAGCAACGGACGGTCCTCAATCGATTCAGGTGGAACAAGTGCAATCCGAGCCTCGCTCGAATGCCTAACCAAGTCCACATCCAAAGTTCCATTCCGCCCGATCTCTAATTATCAATCATATATAATCCATGTGATAGTAATATAATAACAATAATAATATATTTCCTATCTCTCGCGAGTGACAGGTAATCATTTGATTTCTATCGGATCCTATAGCATAGCAATCTACATGATCCTGACATACTAGTAGTACTCATAGAATAAGGATATATATATATATATATGCAAGTGGTTTTCATTCAACTCCTTAAAACTTAATGCACAAGCATAAGATAAAGTGCAGAATAATAGGGGTTATGCACTGGGGCTTACCTGGGTAAGATATAAACAAAGTTCACATTCCATCATAGTGACACGATGATCAAGGCATCATTTTTTCCGCTACTTCAGTCGACTCCATGATCCATCATTGTTCCTATTATGATATACGTGGATGCAATGTAGAGACACAATTAATCAAACGATAACTGCAACTCTAAAATGCGATTACGCTCCACAAGCTAACGAGCAAACTTTAATGACTAACGTACTAGTCTACATATCCACTTCGTCAAGTAAGGCTTCGTTTCTCAACAAGTGTTTTAGTCCTAAACTCTTAAGGTGTTTCGGTATTTTATTGATTAAACATATATTTTTGAACTAGGGCTCATTTAGCTACCTAGCAAACAATTATTATAGAGCTACAAAAATTACAGTGAGCACCTAATAATGTTAGGAATTTATTGTGAAAGTTTTAGAGCCAAAACTATCACCAATTTATCACAAAAATTAATACAAGTTTATATTTTACAATATTAAGCATCTCAAATTAATTAGATAACTCTAGAAAATATTATAAAACTATGTGAACAAAATATACTAGCAAATAGATCATGATTTTAGGAACTTAACAAAATCGGTTTCACAATTTTTGGTTAACTACACAATTTTATATTGAATTTACAAATTTACATTAGAAGCTAAATTAGAAAATGCTTAGAAGAGGAAAAGGGTCGGTGGCGACCATTTCAACCCGGCAGCCCTGCGCGGCGCAGCTACGCGCGTGGCGCGGCGGCCTAGCAGCGGCCCAAGGCCAGGGGCGCCCACGCGCGCTCGCGTTTTGCAAAAGAGAGCTGGGGCTTTTGGATAATCACACGGAGCAACGGAACACTATTACTACAGACTCACACTTTGCATTAAAGACCCTGGAAAGTGTTGCCTTTGCAACGGGGTGGTCCTCGGCATACCCGCGCGTGGTGGCGCGGCACACCGGCGGCAACGACAGCGGTTACGCCGGGCAAACTAGGCTCGATACGATGGAAGTAAGGGGCCAACCATCATCTACAGCTAAACACACAAGGATGGGTGGCGGTTAGGGACTCGGAGGTGCACTGTCGTGGGATGCAGCGGTGAGCGGGTATCCACGACGGTGGCGCGACTGTTCCAGCGATCCTACGCCCTCACGGAAAGGTAGAGATGGCGGAGGTGCACTAGTAGCTCACCATGGTGCACACCCTATTGATGGTTGAAGCAGTGGAGCACTGCAACGGTATGGCCACGTGCGACCGAGCAGGCGGCAGTGCTCCAAGGTTGACACCGACACATCAGGTCCTCACTTGCATCGTTCCTGGTCAAACGAAGGTGAGCAACGGCACGAGGGGACCAAGGTGAGCTCATAGGAACAACTAGTTGAACCCCTACCGAGGGGCAGGGCCTTACCCCCAAGTCATGCTCTGTTTCAGAGGCATGGTGACCGGCGACCGTGGAAACACTAAATTCGTCCGCGCCGAGGCACGGCAAAGCCTCGATAGGAGTCGCTTGGCTAGTCGACTTCCTAGGCCACTTGTTGGTGCAAGGGATTGAATGGCGGAGCTCTGAGCTAAGCGAATCGAGAGGCAGAGCACGCGGTGCTCCCACTGTGGTCATGTCATGGAGAGGCACATGAGTGAGCTCGAGTGGATTAAGATGGCGGCTTCGATCGATAGCTGTAGTAAGAGCACGTGCGGACAGGTGATGAGACTAGGCGGCCTATCACGTCGCACTTGAATGAAGCGGCAAAACCTGAGTGGGCTCACCAGTGTCGGCTAGCGGAACAGGGTGAGGCAGGGAAAACATCCATCGCCGCTACGTCCGACCCTCAACTCGTCACGTCGGCAAGGTTCCATCTTAAGGACCAGGCGGGGTAGGAAGAACGAGGGACGGGGCGAGCACCACATCCATCGCACGATATAGCCACAACTACAGTGTGGCCCAGCAGCCAGCCCTGTGAGCGCGGCGTGCGTGCAGCAGTGAGACCAGCCGTAGCCAGCTGCGACCGACCAACGCCAAGCCGTAGGCACTGCGCGGCCTCACCCGAGCACGCGAGCTGGCTAGCGGCAGCAGCCCGGCCACGACCTAAGCCCGGTGCCAGCAGCGCCCACGCGCGCAGTGACCGTGAACCCGGGCCGAGAGGTAGCAACTGGTGCCGTGCACGCATTTTTAAGCAAAGCAAAAGCTGCTAACGATCACGATCGAGGCTCAACTAATTCCCCTAACCTAAAGTCGATACTAACACTCTGCTAATGAATCAAAGCTCACATCTAGAGAGCAACCAGAGAGGGAGATAGGGAGGTGCCAACAGGAGTTCGTCACGCTGAATGCCAGTTCACGAACCGAGCACCGAATCAGGGTTCAGAGCGCGATCTAGTGAAGTTAGGGCAATTTTAGAGCAGACAACGTGACATCCAACACAATGTCGACCTATGCCATGCTCAAGCACTCACTTTGATGCAATCAACAATACCAAAACATGCAACTAGTGTTTCAACATTTTTGTTAGAAATTAAATGTCAAAATAGCATTGTCTTACTACTTTTCCATACTTAGGAAAGTTAAGGATTCAATTCAAACTAACAGCCATTAACACTTTTGTTACAATTTTTAAAAGGCCTAAACCCTATTAACTGCTATCAACAAGTATTTCATGCGATAGTCCATACCTTATACTAACTCGTAGGAGCAAAATATTTAAGCACCATTTAACTATTTTGCTCAATATAATTCACCAAAAATGGTATTTTATCAATAGTTCAAGTGTTTGCCAACTTAACGAAAAGAGCTTATCTTAACGTCAAATTTGATTTTTGAACTCCCAAAACACTAGTTAACAACATCTATTTTCCAAAAGTTAAAGTTGCATTTCCATCTACTAAACTTGTACTTCAATTTTTATTTAAGTACTAAATACAAGTTATGTTTGATCCTTGTTCATAGAAATTATTTTTCGCCTCACATGCGTTATAAACTTTTTAAACCTAGAAACTTGTTAGGCTAATCCTTCTCGGACCTAAATCTTGGTGCTAAGCAAGCTCGTAACACCAGGGGTGTTACATTTGTCCATTAGTTTTGTATATTTTTGATGTCCCACATGAGGTTCCCAACATATATCACACAGTTGGACACGAATGCTTATATTGGTTCATACATAATGCACAACATGATCCAAGTGCTCACAAGTTAGGTAGA